ACTAGTTTTGATATCTTATCGCAACTTTTTAGGTAAAATGTTTTTATAAGCTTTTTATAGTGTGGGTGGTATTAGAGTTCATTCATGATTAAAGGTTTTCAAGGGTGGGGTATCACTGGCACTGGCAGATCACAGCATAGATTTTTAAGTGCCGGTACGCACTCTACCTGTTCCCGACTAAAATTATTTTTGATTCACATCAAAACACACCTCCGATCAAAAAAGCATACAATAATAAAGTTTATCAAATCTTTTTTATATTGTAATAAACTTTTTTGTTATAATGTATATATTACAGAGATCCACAAATTATTATTATTATTATTACTTTATTTATATTATACAGTATATGTTAAAATATTAAGTAATATTTAAATTATCTACTTTATTTACATTGCTTCATCATAAACGTAATGTTATCAATGTTTATTATCTTTGTATTTAATATAAAAATTAGTTTTCTATAAAAATTTCTAGAAATAGTAAAAATATTTTCTCATAATTACGATGAGAGATATTGACTGAATTGCCAATTTATATTTGACTCAAAAATTGTTTATTGGGTCGAAAAAAATTTCCCATTGATTTTTCAATATATTTGATTTTTTATATACATTTTGATCTTTAATATTTAATAAATATAAACAGCAATACAGCTAACCATTCAAATATATAAATATATTGTATATAACCTATGGATGAGAACAGCATTTTTTGCGACAAAAATAGTTTTTTTTGTATCAATATCTCTATAGAAATATTATATAAAAAGACTGTATTTTTGAATTAAGTCGATTTCAGTGGGAATTTCTTTAGGGCCACCCGTATATTCAATTCAAATATATTCTCACTTTTTTTTGTCTCTCTCTCTCTCTCTCACACACACATACACACATAGTTTACAATATATCTTATAGTTATTTTTTATTCAATGTTATCTCTCTCATGAATTGTCTCTACATTTCTCTTTATATATATATGCGAGTGTTTATACACTGATGTAAAGCAGATTTAATACATTGGTTGCAAACTTGACGTGAATTTTGTGTATCTTTTTTATATGATTTGTTTACTGCAAACTCTTATCCCTATAGATTGAGATATACACTGTCTTTGTGTGAATTGTCTGTTATATTCAATGGTTATGTATTAATAGTTTATTCAAAGTTGTTAGCAAAGAGAGCATCATTTGGTCGGTAATGGACTTGATTTGAATGGATGGAGATATGAGATAAACATGTTATTAAAAAATTACTGCAATAGTAGTAGTGGTAGTAGTAGTAGTAGTAGTAGTATTCAGTGCTATAGTTCAGTAGACAAACATCTTATATATTATAATATAAACTTAAGAAAAGTGATTATACTATGTCTGCAATTGACTGCAAATATATGGTAAACGACAGTATAGTGAATGCCATCCTTTTTGCTGTACAATCAAATCATTGCATATTTTATTTATTTCACTCAAATTTCTATTTAAATACTAATCAATTCTTGAGTCAACTATTTTTTTCTGAATATATTTAGCAATATATCTAAAATACTGCGAAAAGAGAGACTGAAAAGTGAGTTATAATTTATGTTGAGATTTATTGGAGTAAATCGTTTAATCGATAAAAACGAGTGAAAAAGGAAAGACTTTATTCACAAAAAAAACAAAATAAAAAAATAATGGCATTAATTCTCATTATATTTAAATGCTAATATAAGCATATATAAAGTCTGTATATTTGTAATATACTGTACTATATTATATTGCAAACAGCAGTGAATGAGATTGAGATTCACAATATATTTAAATTAATATATATTACAATCTCAAACTATAGTAATCTCTATCCCAATGGTTGTTCTCGATATTATGCACTCAACTTGTTTTATTACTATCAATATATATATATATAAGAAAATAAACAACAAAAAAGTTTGGGTCACATCTAATAGAGTTTATATATATATATATATATATACAGTACATACACGGGGTTTATAAAAACAATTTATACAAAACACAAGCCCTTAATTAATTGCATAATAAAAAGTAAACCATTATTAGAATAAAAAGCTATTACTCGTTCTCCATATAGTTATATATATATATATTTATATATTGTATGACATGTTTTGTTGTAATAGATTCAGAAAACTAAAGTAAATGCAAAAATTCAATAGTGCTGTTGATCTGTTGATTACTGAGTGTATTCATTAATGAGGATAAAGATAGAGGACAGTAATGCATATAAAGGAACTGGTGTTTATGTGTTTTATCGTTTCATTCATAAACCCATTCCCCTATTACAGCCCTATTGTTTGCTAACATTAACGTTATAATTAATTTTTTATTTTTATTCTGACTATTTCTTTATGATTTTATTTTTTAATTCATTGCAAATCAAATACAATATTATTTTGATTAACATTTCAATTTAATTTTTAAATTGAATTGTTTTGTTAGTTTTAATATAAATATAATTAAAAAAATGTTTCAAATATTTGCAAATGATTATTGCGGTTAAAATATTCACCGAAAACAATGATTAATATTTATAATTTTATTGTTATTACTTTTTATGTAATCTGTAAATCAAAATTAATTTAAACACACACTTTATGCCCAAACCTAATGGTTATTATTTGAATCATTCATTCAGTCAAATGGTTTTTCCAGCACTTGTTTGTGGCACTCATTTAGTAGTAACATCTTTACATAATAATTAATGTATAATTTACTGAGAAATTTAAATTGACTTTCAATTATAGTAAATATATACACTGTATATACATATACTTTATATTATTATTTTTTTGAAAATTATTCCCTTTTTAACTGCTTTTTGATTGTCACTAATTACAATGCAGTGGTGTTTGTCTATACAACTCAATGACTACAAAACAAAAACCCTTATAATATACACTTCATATAAGAAAACTTATTAAACAATTATATAATCTCTTAGTTTATTTTATTTTTGACATTTAGTGCCAATTAATGTCTCAAAAACTCGGTTCCGGTTTATCTCTAAATATGACTCTCTTTTTCTTTCACCTGTTTTTTCTCTATTTTTTAAACTCACTTATATTTGTTATAATTTTTAATTATATAAATAAAAATAAAATTTATTTCTTTAAAACAAGGATAATAAATAGTAAAATTCTGTTAAATATTAAAAATTAAATAAAAATATTTTTTTAAAATATTAAATAGTAATCATTGCATACTTTACCATAAAATAGGAGTTAAAGGAAAGAGAAAATGCTTTTTAAAACTATTTTGGTTTTGTCTCTATTTTCTATTACACGGGCCGTCCATTCATTAAGAAGTACAGAAAAGCCATTTGTAAAGCAATTTATAGCTACAAAACAATAATAACAATCATATGATAGAGAGAGAGAGAGAGAGAGAGAGAGAGAGAGAGCACCGGCAGATAGCTTTTAATATGGATGCCTATGTTATGGGAAAAGGGAATTATCATTATCTGTTGCCAGTCTGGAGATTGAGTCAAAAGTTATATTCAGTTAAGTTGAATGAGACATAGAGAGAGAGAGAGAGAGAGTCAAATACCTGCGCCACCGGGTATTTGGCATTTGGGTCCCAAAGAATGATACACAACATATCATTAGGATTTTACTATTATTATTATAACTTATATTTTAATATATAAAGATTTCACGAGAGAGTTGAGAGAGAGAGAGAGAGAGAGAGAGAGAGAGAGAACACGTTTTTTGTGTTATAAACTCAACTCTCATATTATTGTCTTTTGCAACGCGGATATCATCTCTTTTGAGAAAATATATCTCTTTAAATAACATACATAAGTCTTAACATACATTTATATTTTGTGTTTTACAACATTAATATTAAGTTTAATCATAAAATTGCAGCAAATTTTTTAGTAGTTTTTGATTGTTATTAATTTCTCCGTCATTGAGAAGATGAGAAAAATGCATTCAACTAACAGTACAGTAGTTGTAATATAACAATCTCTCTCTAATATCTAATATATTATTTTATTATACAATTTTCCATCGTTTAGTTATATAATGTTATTTAACAGATATTTTATAATAAATGTTATTTGACTATTGAAAACTAGTGCTTCATATTTTTGATGATTATCAAAAAAAAAGGTTTTTATATATAACGATATACATAACACAAAACAAGTGATTAATTATGCTTTTCATCTCATTTTCTGACAAAATATTATTAGCTTTACTATAATAAAAGCGATTAATTTTATGCGTAAATTATTTATTTAAACAAATTATTTATTATATAAATATATTTTGTATGTGTTATTAATAACACTGTGTGTCCAGGAATTGTATTTTTAGATTAATATTTTATATGTTTTAAAATTAAAATATTATTTATGCATTAGAGATATATTTAGTGATAAGCAAAAGATTTTCTCAAGTTTTGAATACATTAAATAAATTAAATGAATTTCTTATTAATTTTATATAATCAAGAAATATTTTCCGCATATCCTAAAAAATATTTTACTGTATTTCCTAAAAAAACTTAATGTATTTTACATACAATACATCATAAAAAATCGCTGTTTTCTAATGAAACAAAACTATTTTTAAGGGAAAAAAGTTTTTTATTATATTTTATAGCTGTTTAATATTTTTACGATAATTATGTTAGCCTTCAATGCGCTTCATAAGACAAAAAATGTATAATTTTATTTTTTTAGTAAAATCTATTAAAAGTCCAATACAAATAGTGTTTGTGTGTGTGTTTGAAAATCAGTATATTTTTGTAAAAATGATTAATTATATAACTTTATGCTAACTACTTATTTTAAATAAGTTATTTGAATATTTTATTTTGTATTAAATAGTTATTTCATATTTTAAATGAATATTTAAAAATTCATAAAAAATAAAAATTTTAAATATTTATTTATCTGTTTCGAGTCCAATTCAATTTGTAATTAATTATATTTCATATTTACATTTGTTGTAACTATTTTTTTAATATTTATTTATAGGATGACTTCAATAAAGACAATTATGATTTGGTTGTTATTAAGTACAGTGTTTATGATAGTGAGTGTCACTAACGGTGCCCAATATGTAGCACCTGGCGATTGCACGTGGAATCACATTCCCCAAAGCAGTTTTGATGTATTACTTAAGTGCCAGTTGAGGACAATCAACCCGTCGGGCCTTAACTTTAGTCTTATTCAAACTGAACACACTATTAGTCTTACGGTAGTCTGTGATGAGTCTCTGTTTGAGTCGCGTCTGGAGAACGGCTCACTCAGTCACTTGCGGTTCTTGAAGTCATTGGACATCGAGAACTGTAAACTAAAACAACTAAGTGGTGGTGCACTCACAGGTTTGCAACAACTTCGCAACCTAACAGTGCGCACTCATAACAACAATTTAGGCTCACAATCACTGGCACTGACACACGAATCACTGTCCAGTTTGAAGCACTTGGAGAAGTTAGATCTCGGCTTCAACTATATCGGACAGTTGCCACAGGACTTGTTTTGTCCACTGGCCAGCCTTAAGACTCTTAATTTAACTCAAAATCGACTCAGTGGTTTCGGTAGCTTTGGTCTCATAGATCCGGCTACTGGTCAGCTGTGTCTACAAGAGTTACAACGCCTTGATTTGTCCCACAATCACATCTCATTCCTGTCAGAGACAGGTGTGGCCTCTTTGAGGAATCTTCAGGCACTCTATTTGCAGAATAACAGAATTGCAGAGTTGGCTGAACTGTCTTTCTCTGCCCTCAAGAAGTTACATATAATTGATTTATCAAACAATTTGTTGCAAACAATTCCGTCGCGATCTTTCAGAGAGTCTGAAGAACTGAAAGAATTACATCTGCAAAACAATTCACTGACAGTACTGCCGGCCGGCATATTCAGCGGTTTGTCTAAACTACTGATCCTCGATCTGAGTCACAATCTTATCGGCAGTGAGTGGATCTTTCCGGAGACATTTGCGGATCTCATTCGTGTTGTTGTCTTAAATTTGGGATTCAATCGTTTGAAAAGCATAAATGCGTCGACATTTCAAAATCAATACTCTTTACAGATCTTGTATCTCAACAACAATGAGATCGAACAGATCGGTGACAATTCATTTGCCTCTCTTTACAATTTACATACACTTATACTAAAAGGCAATCGACTTAAGAATGTCTATTCATTTACATTCAATGGATTATATGTGTTAAGCCAACTATCCTTAGCTGAGAATGAGATCTCCAGAGTAGACGACAACGCCTTCAGAAATAGTAGTAATCTTCAAAGTCTTCATCTCAATGGTAACCTCTTATCTGAAGTTCCGATTGCAGTATCAGCTTTAAGATCATTGAAAAGTTTATACCTGAGTGACAATGATATCAAAGTTATTAAAAATTCATCATTTGTTGGTTTGAATAATCTGTCGGAGTTGAAGCTGTCGGGCAATGAGTTGGCAAACTTGACGAGAGGGACACTCAAAGAGTTACAATCTCTTTACGAATTAGATCTCTCTTGGAATCGCATCAATGGTCTCGATCACGGAGTCTTTGACGACGCGCCCACATTAAAGACCATTCAATTAGACAATAACTTCTTGAGTGATATCAATGGCCTTTTCATGAACTTAAATAACTTGCATTATCTTAATGTATCCAACAATAAGATAACATGGTTTGATTACGCCCTTATCCCCCGTTCCCTTAATAAACTGGACATACATCACAACGAAATTGAAACTTTAGGCAACTATTTCGAGTTGGAAAGTGCTCTACAGCTCGAGGACTTTGATGTCAGCCATAACCTAATTAAAGAGATCTCTGGCTCAGCCATACCCAACCGTATCGAACGGATCAACTTAAGTGATAATAAGATCCGTGTTGTACATCAGTTCACATTTATGGCCAAACATAACATCACTTTTGTCGATCTTCGCAACAATACATTGCAAACGCTTGACATCAATGCTTTCAGATTGAAAGCTCTGACTGCAAACAGACAGTCGCCTGAGTTTTATGTGTCATCCAATCCATACTATTGTGACTGTACTATGGAATGGCTACAGAGGATCAATAGTTTGGACACCAGTACCCGACAATATCCACGTATTGTGGACTTAGAGCAAGTGATGTGTCAATTGCCATTTGTTAGGCACAACCAATTGGTGCCGTTGACCAAAGCAAACTCATCCAACTTTTTGTGTAAATACAAGTCTCATTGTTTTGCTTTATGTCATTGTTGTGACTTTGATGCGTGTGATTGTGAGATGATGTGTCCAGAAAACTGTACCTGCTACTATGACCAAACCTGGAACACCAATGTTGTCGACTGTTCCACCAAATCCTATAATGCCATCCCATCCCGTATACCAATGGATGTGACGGCTCTCTACTTGGATGGCAACGACATCTTCACACTAACCAGTCATACGTTTATTGGACGCAAAAATATGAAACAGTTGTACCTAAATAATAGTAATATACATAATATAAGTAATCGCACTTTTAATGGACTCGTATACCTGGAAGTGCTGCACCTGGAGTACAATCAGCTGACTATTCTTCACGGCTATGAGTTTGATTCACTGCATTATCTCAAAGAGCTTTATCTTCATCACAACCGTTTGCATACCATTAATAATAATACATTCATTCATCTGAAATCACTACAAGTGCTGCACTTGGAGTATAACTCAATTGTCGAGTTTCAAGTGTTCACATTAAGCGCATATAACACGAGGTTGTCTGCTCTCTACCTGTCCAACAATTTGTGGTCGTGTAAGTGTGCTTTTATGGATGACTTTGTTGAGTGGGCCCGAGTCAGTGCACCGCATCTGCCCGACGCTCATCAGATCCGATGCTATTATAATAGCACACATGTGGGCCCATACATCTCGCAGTTTAACTCGACTACCTGTGCCAATAATGCTTTGGGTGCCATTGGCATTGGTATGATTGGTGGCACTGATGACACTAAAGTAAACCAACAAAGCAACAACAATTTGGTTTCACTTTTACCGCCCAATCAGTTCATTCGCGATAATATCATATACATTGCAATTGTGTTTTGTTTGTTAATATTGGTGTGTCTTATGATAGTACTGTTGTGTGTCTATCGTAAAGAACTTAAAGTCTGGATGTACAGCAAGTATGGCGTCCGACTGTTCCAGAGGTCGCGATACACACCAGAGACGGAAAAACTGTTTGACTCATTTGTGTCCTACTGTAAGAAAGATGAGGCCTTTATCGCCCAGATATTGGCGCCGGAGTTGGAGTGCGGTCACCCACCCTATCGTCTGTGCCTTCGTTATCGGGACCTACCGATGTCCGGCTATGTGGCCGAAGCTATCACCGAAGCCATAGAGTGTAGTCATCGAACAATTATCTTATTGTCGGAACACTTCCTAAAGTCCGAGTGGTGTCGGTTTGAGTTGAAAGCCGCACATCAGGAGACACAGTGTAATAAAAATCATAAACTAGTTGTTGTCTTATTAGACAAAAATAATTTAAGTGAATTAGACGCCGACACACGTATGTGCCTCAGGTCGGTACCCGTTATTCATTGGGGTGACCGACGATTTTGGGAGAAACTCCGATACGCTATGCCTCCCGCAAGGGGTCAACTCAACAAACCCATGAATTGTCCCGATGTTCGCGCGTCCCTTGAATTCAAAAGGGCTGTCAATAATATGGGAAAAGCCGTCTAATAGTGTCAATGCTTTATAAATACATTAAATCTTATTATTAAAATATTTAAATATATAATATATAAATTAATTTAAATGATCCAAAAATGTTGATTTAATAATGTGTGAAAATATTAATATATATAAATAGACGCTATATATATGGACTAATTGTGAATTTAAAAATTCAATTATAAATAGTTTATTAAATTTGAATTACAAATCAAAAAAATACGACAACAAAAACACTACACTATAATTAAAATGCAAATTAAATTAAATTGTTGTAATAATAATAACTTCTCTAATATATCTGGTTTTCAGACAACAGTGGAGAATCAAAACATAATAATATCTTATTGTATATATAAATGTCTTTATATATTATTTTCATTTATATTATTATTTACTTTGTTTTTCTTGTGTGTGGATGAGTGACATCAATACCACACTAGAGTTATAACCATTTTTTTGGCAAGAGATGAGAGAAATAAAAATTAATATAATTTTTTTTCATTCATTAATTTCTATACGGATTTTATCTCTCAAAACATTTAATAATATAACAATACATATGTTGTAAATATATTTAGCATTTTTTTGTGAGACAAAGACAAGAAATAAGAAGTTAATTATAATTATTTATAATTGTTTGCCGACTACTCTCTAACATTGCCGTACACTTCAATGTACTTCAAATATTTAATTATATACACTTAAGATTTATATAGAGTTACCATAAATTGTGATACAAGAAGATTATTGAAGTGATTTTTATTTGACATCTATTAGACAACACTTTAGATATAAATATATGTGTTGTGAATGGCAAACAAACACACAAACAACTCGTTTTATATAATAATAATAATAAGGATGTGATCTGAAAAAAAACTTTTATTGCAATTATTCGTCAAATGACAGCCAAATACCACCGCCACTATACCACTGATAATAAACAAAAATATCAAACACACAATAACAGTGAAGAGGACAGACATGTGATGACATGGCCCACACTCTCACTATACATGGATGTGACGACAATGAATAATATGAATATTTTATATTTATATCAAATGTGAAACAAAAATAACTATTCATTGACTCTTTTTCCTAATGTGTGTCCATTTATGTGAATAAAATTCCCTCTCTTTTTATTTATATAATTATTATATTATATAAATTATATGATTGTATATAAAATATATATATTATGAGAGGCAATGACTTATTATAAGTGGTTTTGTCTCAATTTGTAATATTATATTAATATATTATAAATATTATTGCTAAATTTATTATTTGTATATCTAGTTATTGTATTAATAATTTAATTTTTAAAATATAAATAAATTTTAATTTTATTACAAAGAGATTTTGTGTATTTTTTAAATAATTATAATGATATATTTTTCTACGTTAAGACATTAAAATATTTTTATTTTATATAAATTTATACCATATAAACGTAATGTATATATAAGTCCAACGAATAAAATATAAAAAATCATATCAAATACATGTGTGTATTAAGTTATAGAGTAGATTATATACTGTACCACAATATATATTGAAGTTTACTATTACCTAATCAGTGTTTCTAACTTTCCATTTTCATCCCTTTCCTACTCCTAATAATTCAACTATAGTTTTGAAATAAAGCTATTATTGAATTTTCTTTTTTTTTTATTTCTTATATCTCTTCCTTTCGGTTTTTTAATAATTTAATTTCACATTTTTATTTTGAGAGTAATTTCTATCTCATCTATGATATAATGTCTCTATTTTATTACTTACTGTATTTTTGATGACATGGACTCAAAGATTGGATACACCTATAAACCTATGTATCTTCTCATTACATTTTGATATACTATAATAATAATAATAATATTGTCATATAAATTATATTTTAATTTTGGACTCTTATTTTTGAACAACTTTTCTCACACATGATTGTCACGACATGTCTGTCACCTAATCTCCCAAATTATAAAAGCCATGCATTTAAGTAGTTTAATGTTAATAAAAATTGTTTTTTATTTTGAAAATTAATTTATTTCTTAATTTTTTTAATGGGAAATATTTCAATGCAAAATTGTTTCTGAATTTTGTTTTTTAGTTAACAGTGAATGGATTGATAAAATTTATACAATTTTATATTAATATATAAAAGAAGATAAATATTACAATAAGTGTTAAATTTTATATAAAAATAAACTTTTAAATATTGATTTATATATATTTTTATATTTACTATTGTATTCAATTCAATATTAAATATAATAACAATGAAATGAGGAAGTATTCAACCATTTTTAATATAAAATATATATTATTTGTTATTATTTGATATTATTTTTCATTGAATAAGACGTGTTTTTTATTTGATTAGCAGTTATACTGACTGTTAGTGTCAAACAGTGAGAGACGGGTTGAGTAACACTAAGTGATCACAAACTTGATGTGCTATATGTCTGTATACCATATAATGTTGAATGTGTTGGTTGTGTTGTATATAAAATATATCAAATGTTGATTTCTCATTAGGCATTCCATACGGCACCGGCAGATAATAGCGGTGTCAGGAGTTTGACTCATACTATACATACATACATAGATAGGGAGAGGAAATATTTTACAGAGAGGTTAGCTGTTACTTACAATTTCGACATTTAATTTAATTATTAGAAGGAGTTGTATGGTATATGTTAGGGGTATAGGGTATGGGATATGGAGTTCAACATACAGTGCATTATATACATTACAGTTAAGTATTTTATACATCAATATATGCGAAAAACTGGTTGTCTGGTTCATAAAATTTTTGTAAAATTATATATATATATATATATATAAGATTATGTATTATAATTGTAGTCCCATTTATGTCTATCATTCATTGATATGAATGCCAACAATTTTTCTTTATGTAACTTATTTTAAGCATAACTGCAGGCGTTTTATTGAATATAAATTTTATGTATTTCTAGTTAATAACATTAACAAAAATAGCGATTTTGTGTATTTTAAATGAATAGTGATGTACTGTTTTTTAAAACTAATAATAACAAATGTGCTGCCATTTTATCGTTAACGTATAATATGTATGTTAAATGTATTATTTGATGAAACACATTATCTATGGTTAATAACTAATTAACTTTATTATATCATAAATTTATGCATACACTAAAATAAACCTTTTTATAAAAATGTATAATAAATCCCAACTGAGAAATGATTGAAAGTTTATATATGTATAGCAAAGGGCTGTTAGAAAATTGCTTAAAATCAAAGTTTTAACAATCATTTATTACACTAGAAAACAATGTCTCATATTTAGCTTACAGTAAGTGAACACTCATTAATGACTTTTCCATTGACGGGCTATACTTTCCCTACTAATACTCTCTCTCTCTCTCTCTCTCTCTCTCTCTCTCTCTCTCTCTTTCTGTAAAATTTTCATTTGTTAGTGTTTTCCCAAAACGTGAATACATTACTTTCAACATTTGCATAGTTATTACATAAATATTTGACTTACAGTTAACAATTACCCTGTTTAAAATTGTGATCGATTTAAGAAATCAATTGTTTTATTATTATTATTATATAGTGGCTTTAATTTTATGTACTGTACTTAATCTATTCATATATGTGTATGTGTTTATGTATGTATATATGTATATATATATGTGTGTGTGTGTGTGTGAAACATGAATTATTATAAATTATATTGTTATCGGAATCTATAATTTTATTATATAATATGTTTGCAATATTCAATATACTATGAATTAGAAACCCCCTAAAGGGTTAGTATATATTTAACCCATCAGTTCATTACAATTTATATGTCTATAAAACAGTATATAAAGGATGATGAATGAAACAATGGTTGAATTTATGGCTAAAAATATTTTATTAAATATTATGAATACTAAAATTATTGATGCAAAAATAGTAGCAAATTGACACACAGCATATATATTATATATATATTATATATTTACTGTATATAATACTTTATTACTTATCTAATGATTAAATAGATTTAACAATCTGTAAATATATTTCAAATATGATATATAATAAATAGTTTAAAAATAGACTCACTATTAAATGTAATTCAATGTGTATTATATAATCAGTTATTAATAATGAATGCAAATCATTGAAATGCATGTGTGTATTGAATTTTTTATATAAATGTTATAAATCTCTATTCAATGTTCTAATAAATAACTCATTTAACAGATTCAATAAAAAATAGATTAAATTTTATATGCAATGAAAGCATAATTTAATATTGAATTTAACATTTTTTTTATAATGAATACTGAGTTTTAACTCTTATATTTAAGGGATGAAAGGATGTGATGTCTGATGTGATGTTAGATCTTATGGTTGCTCTCATTGAACGTTACAAACACTTTAATCACTTGCTTCTCCTATTTTTATCATTCAATTGATGTATGACTAATGCTTGCCATTTAATTGCATAATCACAGTCACATCGACTGTGACTTATATATAGTGTATGATCGGTGCAAAGTAATGTGCACTTGTAGTTTGTGTCACAATATACTGTACAGTATATACAGTACACACAGTATACATTGTACTCTACAATAAAAGATTGCAAATATATTGAGGAACTGACTTTCAAATCAAATCAGTCAACTTTTCATGGCTGTCCTCTTTAATAAATACCGATTCTGAGTCACAATCATAACATTGTAGTGTATATTTAGAAAAAATTCGACCAAAAATTGTACAAAAATATTATATATTTTGATATTTATAACAGAGGTCAGGGAGGAAATGGTTGCCTGGAATGCAAATTATATATTTATATATCACTGTATATTACAAGAGATCTATATAAAAGTTAGTCTAGCGTTTCAATAATAGCTTTAAAATTATTATATGTATTTCTACAATACACTGTATATTTCTTATATTTTATATTATATTTTTTATATTATATAACTTTAATATTACATATAAAGTCATTTAAAATGTATTACACCTTTATTTCTCTCTCTTTTATTCACTCACTCACTAAATAAA